GCCAAACTCCTCTTTACTTCTCATCCAGCTCTTAGCTTTTATTATTATTCATCCTAACCAATAATATACACACCTTTAAACTCAACTAAATCTCCCGTACAAGGCTTATTCTTCTTCTTCTTCTTTTTGGCTTGTCTTCTTCTTCATTTAAATCCACCTTTTAATTTTTTTACCCTGGCAAATGTCTCAATCAAATAATAACCCCTTACTACTACTAAATTCATACCCGAATAAATTTACCATAATTCTTAATCGTATGAGCGCCTGAGCTGAAGCTGGATGATATTCGATCCCATGTACGACATCATAAGACTTTTATATAAATATATATATATATGTAGGTATATATATTGGTGTATGATGGCTCTTTCTTCCTCGCCATTACCCCTACAGCCTACAACTACCTTTATAGACATTTTACGGCTCCAAGTGTGCTCTTGCTCAGGGGAAGATATGTTGTTGTAATAAAATTTTGGGTAATTTATAATAAGAAAATTGGGCGTGGGGTTCTATGAAAATTTTCCATGTTAATTATTAGTCAAGTGGATTTTATCAATAATTTTATTTTTATTATGAAATTATTTTTAACTAAAAATAATTTTTTAAAGTTATTGAAGTGAGTGAAATTATAGCAGAAAAATATTTCTTAGTTCAAAAATATTTTCTGTTTGAAAATAAAAGAATTTTTTAACAATTATTCATTTTTCATAAAATGAAATTTTTGTATACAAAAAATTAATATTATTTATTTATTACACTGAAAAAAAAAAAATTCTTGACTGGAGTGTAAATTTTCTTGGCTCAAGAAAATATTAAGGAAGATTTAAAATTTCTTGAATAAAGTCAAAGTTTCTTGAGCAAAGAAAATTTCTTCTTCCTCTAAAATAACTTGTCTTCCTTGAAATTTTTTTGGCGCAACAAGTTTGTTTTTTTCTGTGTAAAATAATAATTTTTAAAAATTATTGGAGTGAAATATAAGCAGAAAAATATTTTCTATTTGATTTAAAATAAGACAATTCTTTAAAAATTGTTTATTTTTGATAAAAAAAAATTTTTTATCAATCCTTTATTAAAAAGTTGGTGTGAAGTTTTCATTATTGTCACTTTTTCATTGCTATGCTAACCTCTTTGACAACGGTTACCATAGCAAAGGTTAAATATTAATGAATTACATTTATAAAAATTAATTCAACTAATTAAATTGTCGGTAATAACCATTTGGACAAAAACGCGCTCAATTTTCTAATACATTAAATTCAAAATGATAATATTAAAAAATTAATTGATAAAAAATATTAAACACCTCCAAAATTTCAACTTTATATTAAAACAATATTAAAAACTCAAAATTTCGGGTTAAATATTGAAGATACAAAAATATCTCACTAATTTTATTTTCTTAAATTTAATTTTCTAATCATCAAAATCCAGCTAAAATATTTGACCTCACTTTTCTTAATTTTTTAAAAATAAAAAAATTTTTCATATCTTACAAAAAACCTATAAATATGTAGACTAAATTTTCTTTACCTATAAATCTCTAATTTCTCCAAAAAAACTCTAACTTGACCCAAATTAAAAATCAAACATCAATAGACACATCTAGCCTCTATTAAACCCCCAACGCAAACTACAGACTCTATACAAGCCTACAGAACAACACTTACAGTATTGTCGCAATTCAGTGTATATAGTACCATGCCGTCAAGTATGCGCCCGTTGATACTCGCTATTAAATCAAAGAGGTACTCGAACGGCGCCCGATGCCCTGGGAATTCAAATCGGCCTCATAAACCTCACACATCCCTCGCCGGCATTCCCTCCGAGAATTGTTGCCAAATGTCTATTCCCGATTATTATAAATGTCTGCTGCCGATATCCGATCACGTACCTTGCTAAAACTTCCCTTCCCTTTCCAGAAATAGAAAAAAAAAAAAAAAAAAAAACAACCCTTCTACTTAAAAATAATCACCGGAACCTTAAATCTAAATAGCGAATTAATGAGCTTAGAGAACATTAAGATTACCTTTATTTCTTCAACACTTTTTTCTCTGCAGATATATCTATTAATTTATTTTTTTTCATTATCCCGAGGGTCATTCCGTTGTTATAATTAAAGATACCAAATCGCTCTATCGTCGGAAAAATACTTTAGTCACCCCTTGCTGAGATACTTTAGCCTTTAACTCGCTCACTTTTCTTCTTCTTATTTTTATTTTGTTCAGTCAAGTCCTTGATACCGAACAAGAAAGAAGAGCAATGTATAAATGTATAAATATATAAATGTAAAAAAGAAGGTGAGAAAATTAAGGGATTTTAACAGTAGCTAAGTGTAAATGATAGCGCGGTTGGAGATACTCTCAAAAGAACGGTTACGACGTCATCCTCCAGAGGGTCCCCATCCTCATTCTCATCCCCGTTCAGTTTCTTCTTTCTTCTCCTTAAACTTGTTATTATTTTTTTTCTCAGCCGTACCGGTACGCCCGACGAAAAAGTGTCATGATAAAAAGAAGAATAAAACGTTATACCTTATATATTCAGCCTTAAGGTATCGCTACTATACCCACCTTACAACTAAACTCGCTACAACACAACTAAGATTAAATAAAGAGGATAAAAAGCATAATGTTAAGAAAGAACCGTAGACAAAAAGCTTCAAAGAATCGCTTCTTATTCTTATGCTACATCTTTTTCTTATTATACATATACATATAGATAGCCAACCTCTACTCCTTCGCTTCTTTTTCTGGACCGAGAACCGTTTCGAGGTTGTGCGCAAAAAGAGCAAAGTTCGGAAAATTTTAACTTTTTAATGGCAAATTTTTTAGTTAAATTTTTAATAATTTAACTATTATAAAATATAGTTTGAAAAAAATTTTGTATGGTTTAAAAAAAATTGCATTTAATTTTTTTTAATAGTATAATTTTATTAAGGAGATTATTTTGAAATTTTTATTAATTTAACTATGATAAAAATATATTCTAAAATATGGTTTGAAAAAATTTTGTATGGCTTAAAAAAATTGCATTAAATTGGTAAAATTTAATTTTAAATTTCAAAAGCGATAAAAAGCCAAATAAATGGAAAAATATGATATGAGTAATTTTCTTAAAAATTCCTTCAGAAACATAATTTAATATTTTTTATAGAATAGGTAATTATTGTTATTTTAAGTTTTATTACTTAAAAAAAAATTTTTTTTTTCTACTATAATTATTTAAGAACTGTTTAAGAGTAGGCTAGCATCAATTTATTTTCATAAATTTATCTAATTACCTCTCAAATAAATTTTGGAATTAAATAAAATAGTTATAATAGTTAGTTACAAACATTTTTTAAATATTTATTAAAAAAAAGATCAAATTAAAATATTTACGAGCTTTTAAAGTAATACAAAAATTTTTTTTTTAATTATTCAAGTATTAAGAAGTTTAATAATGATAAAAAATTTTATTACAAAATATTTAGCTTAACCTTTCACAATTTATCAAGAACTAATTGACAAATCTTGGATAAAAATGTAAAAACATTGAATTAGATGTATAATTAAAATGATTAAAGTCTTCTCAGCTTAGTATTAAATTAAAAAAAAAAAAATAGATCATAAAAATCTAAAATTTTAGAGAATGTCAAAAGTGCATTAGGAAGCGTGCAAAAATCCAAATATTTCAACACCCGATAATTAAACTCTCCAAATTGCCGACGGCTGTTTGCAATGTAAACACCTAGAAGCCTATATCCAAGAAATTCTCAAAGCAAAATTGGAAACAACACACCGGTATTATACCTCTGTCTCTAGTCCTACCGTCGGATCTTACTTAAGGTGTCTTTGTTACAATAAAAGACGTCGGAATATCGAATACAGTAGCGGACATAAATTTGCGAGGCCACTTAATTGAATAGGGAAAGTAGAGGAGCGAGAAGAATAAGGAAGAAAAGAAGAGGGTTAGAAAAGCAGGACGGTGCGGACAAAGAGTAAAATTTGGTCTTGTTTTGTTCCCCCTGTCCTAGAGGTAGACTCTGTCTGTTTCTTACACTTGTATCTTATTTTTCATGCTTTGAATCTTCTTCTTCTTTTTCTCTTTCTATCGAATAGACATGAGACATGGATATGTTAAACGGGCGAGGAATGCAGCGAGGTATTTGCCGAATAAGCTTTACTTTGCCGTGAGAGGGCTCCTTCAGCTTCCGAATAAAAGATCAGGATAGTGAGTAGTATTCTTCGCTATAATAGTAATAGTATTATATAGAATAAGAAGAAGAAGAAAAAGAAGAATATCATACAGAATGAGAATAGCAAGGACGTAAGACGTCACGAGTCGACGAAAACGGCCTTCGCGTGCCAACCAATACTTTTTTGCTGTGTTATTTGTCTATTCTTCACACACCCACACACGAATTTCTTCACATATGTGATAGAGACATTGTGTCTTATTCAAGTGTGGGTATTTATTATTTTTTTAATAGACGCTGACGGGCAAATGGTCCGTGTCACGTGCTGTACCATTAAATATAAATATATATATGTACGGATGATGATATGTCGAGGTGTAGGTGTGTAACCTATCCGTATCCATGGATCATATGCGGCCTGTAAAAATAAAACCCACAAATTATGGATAGTACTAGAGAAGAAACGATACGTTGTTTCCGGGAATAATTGTTTTATTTTAGCTCGACTTTGTTTTAGAAGAATTAGTATCTTGCAGGAGAGCTCTGGAGAACAAATAAATAAACGGATGAAGGACCACAGCTGGTCGATTATCAGTTTTCAGCCTGGAGCTATCATACGTAATGTGAACTATGTCTTTCCAGAGGAAACTTTGTTTTTTTTAATGATTTATTGTATTATTCTTAATCTTGCTTTTTGCTAGCTTTGGAATAAACTTGTGGTGAAATTTTAGATGGCTAATTATTAGTTTGATGGGTTCAGAGTTCGCTATAAGTAAGAACTTGCTAATTTAACTGTACTATTAATTTATTAAGACAAAATTTATTGATGGGAAATTTATGGAGGTTCAGAGGAATACTCAGTGAGTTTGCTATAAATTTACTCCTCGTCTATGAAAATGTCTGGTTTATTTTTTATTTATAAAAAGGTGTTAAAATGAAAATAGAGACTGCAATTAACCCTTTCGTCGTAAATAAGTTATTTTGTGGGATAAAGTTATGGCTGGTTTAAGATTTTATTGGGAATTTCCAGTATAATTTGTAGATTATGTTTTTTTAAAAGGAACAGATTATTTAGAATTTTTGATACAGTGATATGGAATGTCAGGAAGATTTTATTTTTATCTTGTTGATGATACTCTCAGCTTCGTTGTGGCTTTTTTAAATACGGTGTGTATCTTTCGCAGTAATTAATAACAATTAACATGCCGACGAAATTGATAGATATATTTCTTAACAACAGAAGAACAATTATAAATGTTTGATTTTTTTCTTATTAATTTTATTGACAGCAGAAATTATTGTCAAGGTAATTTTTAGTTGGCTAATACTTGTATAAGTTTCAGCGAGAACTAGAAAAATCTGAAAGAATTGAAACTTTTTATAACTAAATATCTTCTGAAGAAGATGCAAAAAAATTTTAGATTGAATTTGAAATCTCGTTTTTTTAATTAAAAGTCTCAAGAGATACCTTTGTTGTAATTTTACCTTTTAAAATATTATTTTTTGTAATTATTCGATAAAAAATTTCTACTTTTTTACAATATTGATAATTTAATTTTTTGATAAGTTTGATTCGTAAATAATATGATAAAAAAAACTAATTGATAAATCAAAATTAATTATGTGAATAATTTATCACACAAACAAAATTTTATATTTCCTATAAGATAAATAATTGATTTTTAATCTCTGTAAATAAGGAATAACTTTTATGAAAAAGTGTCGTACAATATATCGTGTACTTGTTTCAGCGATAAAATACAAATTTATAAGTATAACATTTCTATAAAATAATTCCCATGGAACATCTGCAGAGATAAAAATACGTGGATGTTTTTACGAGATTGTCATAATATAAAATGAGATTACAGAAATAATTTAACAGTGTTATTAATTTCTCGGTATTTACTTTGTTCCAGGTAAAAAAAAGTTTTCATCCGACCCGTCATGTTGTCCGGTTTGCGGCGTTACAGTAAGACCGCAAGAACTGGAGCAGCATTTCGCCCAAGAATTAGATCGGCTTTACAAGGTATCTGTCAATAATTCTCGACCGCGACAGAGGTTATCGTTGCCGCCGGGACACCAAGATCACCAACATGGACCGATGCTTCATGCTCCTTCTACTGCTGATGGAACGATACAGGGACGCTGGGAGACTTATAAAAGGATTCGAGCTAATCGTCAAGTAATTATTTCATTAATAATAACATTAATAAAAAAATTTGTTAATTATAAAATTAAGAAAATAATTTATTATTATTATTATTTTTATTTTTATTATTATTTTTATTATAAATGGCATGTTATTAAGTTTAGGCTGGCTAAGCATTAGACAACGTATGGTATACAACTGCTGTATTTTCATACACAAAATTATAATAAACAAAGCACCACGATACTTGTATGACCAAATAATCGAAGCGGGAAGTAAACATAAGTATAATACGAGAAACAAATCTTTATTGAGCTTTAATCATACTCGCACTCGCTCTGCAGAAAAATGTTTAAATTATAAAGGTTATGAATTATATAATAAATTACCAAAATGTATAAAAGACGAAGATAGACTTCCATATTTTAAAAGAGATTTAAAAGAATATTGTAAGCGGTTTTATAAATAATGTATATATCTATTTTAATTGTCCTTGTTACTTGTATTAACAAATAGCAAAAAAAAAAAATGCTAAATAAACAATTATTATTATTATTATTATTATTATTATTATTATTATTATTGCCAATAAAATTTTATTTTTTTAAAAAATCACAATAATAATAACAAAGATGATAATAATAATAATAATAATAAATTTAAATAAAAAATTTTTGTATTAATGTATGATGTAAATATTTTACAGGCGAGAATCCGTGTCAAAAATCGTAAAAGAAAAGCAGATGAGCCAGTGTGTCCTGTGTGCAACGAACGGCTCTCAGGTACTCCAGAAGAGCTGAACCAGCACGTGGAGCGATGCTTAGCGAAGCACAACGGTGGAAATCCGGGGTCACATGTAAATTTGGACGACGAAGAAGTCGACGTGGAGGGTGACGCGGAAACATTTGAAGAGTACGAATGGGCCGGCCAGAGAAGGATCCGAGCCACCTCGATGCTAGTGGGTGGATTCTCCGGTGAGTATCTATCGCGTATCGCATATCGCGAATTAAAAATATTTATACGGTTCGATTCATTCAAAAGTAATAAAATACTAGAGAATCCAGAGTAATAACATAACGTTTGACCGCGTGAAATTAAAATCGGAAATTCAATATTGCTACGCTCCAAGTGGATTCTTTAATAAAAAATAAAAATTCAATTAACACAATATTGTGTTTAATTGCCTTTATACTTTTTATTTATTTTTTTTTTATTTATTGTTCATTGAAAGAAAAATTTATTAACTAAATAATTTTTTTGTTAAATTTAATTAAATAATTTTTTTGTTAAATTTAATTAAATAATCTTTTTGTTAAATTTAATTAAATAAATCTTTTTATTAAATTAAAAATAAAATTTTTTAATATTTAATAAATAATTATTATCAAAATTAAATTTATTAATTATAATTTTTTTTTCTTAAATTTCCAGCTGCCGGATTAGCCACGGCAACGAGCAATCGCTCAAGTAACCAAGAAGAAGAGGAGGATTTGGTGGTCGACGGGGATGACGCGGCGCAATTCGGTCCAGCTCAGTACTCAGAAGCCGACGTGATAGCTCCTCGGGGCGAAGGCTCGTTAAGGGAGCAAAAAGAGCGCGATGCATTGCGCGAGGCGGTTATTTCCCCGAACGCCCCGCTGACGCCTCACACGCCACCCGACCAGCCCCATGGCGCCCAGGTCGACGTCAAATCCGAACCAGGTACCAATAATAATTCCATGTCCGTGTCGCCTTCTTCTACGCCACGACAGCGCTCTGACAGTGACGACGCTGGATCTACGTCGTCTCCGAAAAGGGAGGGCAGCGACGTCCCCATCGTCGATGCTCTGCGCAGCAGGATTCGCGAACTCGAAAATGAAATGCGGGGTCAACCTTTCAAGTGTTTAATTTGTATGGTTAGTAGATCATTTATTTTTTTTTATTTTATTGTGTTGCTTTTTTAGGAAAAATTCATCAGCAGACTAAAAATTTTTTTTTAATAATTTACTGTTTAAAAAAAATTTTTTAAGTTTGTACTTTCTTAAATATTGACATTTTTTAAAAAATAAGCTTTCATTTGAATACCCACATGCATTTTTGATATATTTTTCATATATACATATATAATGATATATATTTTAAAAATATAAGCTCATCCCGATGTTACACTTATCAAGAGCTTTCATTTGAGTACCCACATGCATTTATGATATATTTTTCATATATACATATATATAATATATATATAAATATATAAAATTTATGAAAAATTGATGTGGGTACTCAAATGAAAGGTCTTGAAGAGTGTAACATCGGGATGAGCTTATATCTTTAAAAATCTTAATAATTCACGAGATACAAAGTCATTTCTTAATTATGTATCTAGAGATAGAGCATTTTCATTTGATTAAAAATTTTGTAAAATTTTTTTGATAATAATTTACTTCTTAAAAAAAATATTTTTTAAATTATCAAAAATTTCTTAATATTAAAAGAAAAAAATTTATAAAATAATTTCATGTATATTTTGTTTTTATAGGAGCAATACAAAAAACCTGTAACTTCAGTCTGTTGTTGGCACGTCCATTGCGAGCAATGTTGGTTACACACTCTGGTAAGTAAACTATCAAATTACAACCATAAATACAATGAATTGATTAAAAAATGAAAAAAAAAAATTGACATAATGTCGCATTGTAACACAATAGATTGTCAATTTATGACAAGTAATTAATACATTACGTTATCAAAGCGACAAAGCCCGTATGATTTTATGCGGACAAATCAACGGTATCAAATTAAAATATCTTGTAGTGTGTTACATGTCATAAACCTAGCAATAACAATAATACTGTTTTAATTATGATTATTCATCAATGCGCAATAAATTAATATAGGAATGTTTAAACTGTGATTACAGGGCGCGAAAAAATTGTGTCCGCAGTGCAACATGATCACCTCGCCGTCGGATTTACGGCGCATTTATATGTGAAACATAGTAACAACAATCCTGGTAAAAACCGATAATAAAAGTGAGGGAGATAAAAGACCTAGTCTTAAAAGCGAGTACGCAGATAATGATTTTACCAGCAATTAAACGTTTTATGGACTCTAAAGAACAAATTATTGTACATTTTGTATATTTCACTTAAATTTATTGATTCAAGTCCTGTTGTCAATTTAGCGTTAGTAAATTAACTCTAGATTTTAATTAAAGATATTAAATAATTGTAACTGACTATTAATAACAATAATAACTATTAAAATAATAATGATATTAATAAATAAATAAATAAATAGTATTACTGTGCCCGCCTAAAATTTATCTGAATAAAGTCACTACTAACTAGATAAAATAACTTAACTTTTTATCTAAAATGCACTCATGTAACACTGTCAAGTTAATTAATAAATAGTTGTGGTAATTAAAAAAAAAATAAATAAATTTAATTAACAAATTGGTGCATAGATAAAACGAGAGACTAAGCCTAGATAGACTTCACTTTAGCTGGAAGATTATATTAAAGTTAAAAGTAAATAAATATATAAGTCGACGGGCAATACTCCGTCCGAAGGCAATTTTTTTTATGCACAAAAATATGTTTTTTTTTTTTTTTTTTTTTAGTAAATTTGTTTTATTTGTAGACGCAATTGAACTCGACTGTATTAAAAAGAACAAAACAAACTAAATAATAAAAATCTTAAAATAAACTAAAAAGACCATGAAATGTATATAAAATAATTTGGTGTTTATTTTATTTATTCCGTCCTTATAATTTAATTATCCCAAAAAATCTTACTCATATAATAAATGAGTCAATATTTATTACTTATTTTTTTCAGCTTCGCAACTCTGGATAGAAAAAACTATATCTTGAAGTTCCAATTAACAGAAAATTTAACTTTGCTGTTCTGTAATAAAATTCAGGGAAATGAATACAAGAAGCAAAGAGTAAAAGTATGACAATGTGCTCGCTTGGATAAAATGTGTAAATTACCATGTTAGCGAGGATAAAATTAAGCATTAACCACGGAATGTATTTCTCAGTGGAGAATTTCGAGGTTGTTTATTTGAGCTTTGTTATTTATTTATCAGAAGCACCTATAAATACCTGGTGTAATTTCCGCCCTTGTGTTATCTGTATCGCGAGCCCGTTTGTCGCAAACAAGACGTCCTAATTAAACTTTCAGAGTGTATTATATTATGTAGCATATCTACTGTCTACTTGCATTTTATTATTATTATTATTATTATTATTATTATTATTATCCATAAAATTTTGTTCTTTAAAAAAATCATAATAACAACGATAATTTAATTTTTACTTTGTATTAAAATTATAATTTTATTATTATTATTATTATTATTATTATTATTATTATTATTGGTTCCTTTTTATCCTTTTAAAATCCTTTTTGGTTCTGGGAACTTCCTTTTGGAATTCCTTGCCGCCATCAATAACAGCAGCTGAATCATTAGCAATATTCAAAACAAATTGTTATAAACACTTATTAGCTACTGAGCGTGCCGATCTCTAAGTGCGTATTTTTGGCTGAGTGCAATTTAGTTACTTGCTATCCTGTGCAATATGGTATAAGACTAGAAATAGACTGTTTTTGTTTCAGCATTCATTATTAATCTTAATTAATTAAATTTGTATTACTGCGATAAAATTGACGTTGAGAGACCTGTTAATATTAACATTAATATTATAATCATCTATTCTGTTTGTTTAATAATGGTTTTTGAACACTTTTTGACTTTTACTTTGATATTATACTGATTTGTACTTAATTTTAAGATATCATGTATGCTTTGTGTATGCTTTTGGCCGTTAGAGGACTATGTCCTACGGCCTCTTTCAATAAATTACAATTACAATTACAATTACAATTATTATTATTATTATTATTATTATCCATAAAATTTTGTTCTTAAAAAAAAAAATAATAATAATAATTTCAACTTTTTATTAAAAATATAATTTTTTTTAATTATTATTATTATGACTAGTTTTATAATTAAATAAAATATAATTATAAAAAGCATATATGTAGGTATATAAATATATATAAATTATATAAATAATTTTAACTTGACATAACAAAATGGCGCTAAATTCCAAGTAATATAAGTTAAAGTATTATACATAATAAATTTTAGTATCCGGTATATAAATATTATGTAGAGTAAGTACACCATTACATCTTAAATTTTTCCTTTCACTCCTATCATACATGTTTTTTTTTTTTTATTATAAAAGAGCTGTAGTTTGCGTAGCGTAAAATGGCAGTTCAGCACTGGCAGCTGTATTTATGCTCAGACAACCGGACATGGTAACATTTCGTACAATTGCGAATAGCGAGTTGAATATCTGCACCGTTACACCACACCTACATATGTGAATATATATATGTTTATATATATAAGCGATTTCGTTCACTATACTTACCTATTATATCTTTACTCCATCTCGGGTTTGTGTGAGGACGCAGACGTACAAAATAACGGAGTTTGGTAGTAGGAGTAAGGATAAGGATAATCACTAAGAGAGGAGAGGGAAAGAGAAAAGAGTTTCACGAGTGGTAACACACGGTAAATTGTAACACGTAAAAAGAGCCAAGTACGCGCATAAAACCCGCTCTAGTGGGGATTCAAGTGCTTAAAGCTCCGCCTCTTTGTACGTATATATCTTATATCTATTTTTGTGTGATTTATTTTGAGGATTTTAAGTTTTACTTAAAAAAAAGAATTATAAAGTTAAAGTTTTGGAAATTTTTAAAATGATCAATGTTTTTTATTATATAACAATTACATTGTTTTCTTTTTAAGCTTATATATATAACAAAATTTGCGACGAATAAGTTTCATGCAGCGTTAAATTAATATAAACTCAAGTTTCGACGCTTAAAATTTTAATTAATTTTTTAAAATTGTAATAAAAAGTATAAAATTGATAGTTTTTATTAATAAATTAATTTATCTTTTAGAATAATAAAAAACTAGCAACCTTGCAGTCACTATGTGACTGCTGTTACTTGTGAACTATAAATAAATAAAATTTTGCTTTATTAAATAATTATTTTTGTTAAATTGCACTGTATGTTTTTAAATATTGATGTTTTTAAAGATATAAGCTCATCTCGATGTTACTATCATCAAGAGCTTTTATTTGAGTACCCACATGCATTTTTGATATATTTTTCATATATACATATATATAATATATATAAATATATAAAAAATTGATGTAGGTACTCAAATGAAAGGTCTTGATGAGTGTAACATCGGGATGAGCTTATATCTTTAAAAACGTACAGTGCAATTTAACAAAAGTCATTATATTTTAGATATAAGCTCATCTCGGTGTTACACTCATCAAGAGCTTTCATTTGAGTACCCACATCAATTTTTCATATATTTTATATATTTATATATATTATATATATGTATATATGAAAAATATATCAAAAATGCATGTGGGTACTCAAATGAAAGCTCTCGATGAGTGTAACATCGGGATGAGCTTATATCGTTAAAAATGTCAATAGTCCACAAGATATCTGTTATATTGCACTGTACTTTCTTAACTATTGACGTTTTTAAAGATATAAGCTCATTTCGATGATACATTCATCAAAAGCTTTCATTTGAGTACCCACATGCGTTTTCATATATTTTTCATATATACATATATATAATATATATAAATATATGAAAAATTGATGTGGGTACTCAAATGAAAGGTCTCGATGAATATAATGTCACGGTGAGCTTATATCTTTAAAAATGTCAATAGTTCACGAGATACAAGGTCATTTCTTAATTATTGAAAATTTTTGCTTCATTTAAAATCAGCAATAAATCAATTTCTCTTTGATTAATCAATGAATAATAATAATCTAATTATTAGTTTCAAAGTAGAAATTTAATTTTTTAAGTAGTAATAATAAACAAGTAGAAAAGTCAACCTGCAGTCAGACAAAATTTTTCTCCAAAATCATAAAATTCTAAATTTTCCTGGAGAAAAAGCATAACGCCGCTGTCGCGGAAAGAGGCCAACTGAGGACTGAGGACCAGATTACCGCGCAGCTCTTAGGTCAGACGGGAGTGAGAGCTCGCGCCTGCGAAGTGAACCTGGAAGTGAGAGACCCGCCTACCGCCCCATCGAGGCGTAGATCCCAGTTCGGCCAACCGGTACCGGGGGCCTTGATTCCGCGATCTCCGCAACGGCGGTCGCGCACGTGAGGTGGAGACAGAGGTGACGAGACCGAGTGACCCTCTGGTAGAGTATCTCAGAGGAGACCTCCTCTTCCATTTTTTTTATTATTTACTTTTACTTTATTTAACTATTTCATTTTGTTTTGTTTTGTTAAACTTTTTTTATTAAATAGACTTTGGAGCGGTGACGCAAAGCGGATAGGAGGTGCTAAATTGCTTCGGGCCATTCGATTCAAAGTTTAAATTGTCAAACGTCAGATAAAATTACTTTAACTATAGTTATATCGCCGTTTTATAGATAACATATTTAATGTTATACATTTAAAAAATAAATAAAAATATTTAAGATTGAATAAAAATTAATTCAACAGGTAATTAATAATTTAAGTGACAAATAAATTATTTAAAAAAAAAATTGAGGTGTAGAAATTTTAAAAAATTAAAAATGATATTTTTTAAAAATAATTTGTTAAAGAAAATTAAAAAATGATAAAAAGACTTAATTTTAATGTCTTTAAAATTGCTGCTTAATTTTAATTTTTATTAATAATTTTAAGAACAAATAAAATTTTAGCCTGGAGCTATCATACGTAATGTGAACTATGTCTTTCCGGAGGTAACTTTGTTTTTTTTTTAATGATTTATTGTATTATTCTTAATCTTGCTTTTTGCTAGCTTTGGAATAAACTTGTGGTGAAATTTTAGATGGCTAATTATTAGTTTGATGGGTTCAGAGTTCGCTGTAAGTAAGAATTTGCTAATTTAACTGTACTATTAATTTATTAAGACAAAATTTATTTATGGGAAATTTATGGAGGTTCAGAGAGGAATACTCAGTGAGTTTGCTATAAATTTACTCCTCGTCTATGAAAATGTCTGGTTTATTTTTTATTTATAAGAAGGTGTTAAAATGAAAATAGAGACTGCAATTAACCCTTTCGTCGTAAATAAGTTATTTTGTGGGATAAAGTTATGGCTGGTTTAAGACTTTATTGGGAATTTCCAGTATAATTTGTAGATTATGTTTTTTTAAAAGGAACAGATTATTTAGAATTTTTGATACAGTGATATGGAATGTCAGAAGGATTTTATTTTTATCTTGTTGATGATACTCTCAGCTTCGTTATGGCTTTTTTAAATACGGTGTGTATTTTCGCAGTAATTAATAACAATTAACATGCCGGCGAAATTGATAGATATATTTGTTAACAACAGAAGAACAATTATAAATGTTTGATTTTTTTCTTATTAATTTTATTGACAGCAGAAATTATTGTCAAGGTAATTTTTAGTTGGCTAATACTTGTATAAGTTTCAGCGAGAACTAGAAAAATCTGAAAGAATTGAAACTTTTTATAACTAAATATCTTCTGAAGAAGATGCAAAAAAATTTTAGATTGAATTTGAAATCTCGTTTTTTAAGTTAAAAGTCTCAAGAGATACCTTTGTTGTAATTTTACTTTTTAAAATATTATTTTTTGTAATTATTCGATAAAAAATTTCTACTTTTTTACAATATTGATAATTTGATTTTTTGATAAGTTTGATTCGTAAATAATTTTATAAATCAAAATTAATTATGTGAATAATTTATCAGACAAATAAAATTTTAATCTAAAAATATTACAATTATACATATCTAATAAAGTAAAGATTATTTTGCATGTATTTATTTACTTTCAGTTAGAGATATTTATTACACTCATTACTTGATAAAAGTATTAAATCTCAGTCTCAGAGTATACAGAGCAGTTTTGAAATCGGGTTTGAGGTAGGTATGATATAAAATACAGCCAAGAATAAAATTAAGTCTAAAATGCATTATAAAGAATAGTCGATAGCATTTATAGATGATCTTGACCATCTGTAGTAACTCGGAAAGTAAATAAATGTTTCGCGGACGTAGACGTTGATGTATTAAATCTACTTTTTCCAGTCTTTATATATCCTTAAGTCTTTCACTCTACTTTTAAATTACTTATAATTTATTATTTAAAAAATATATTGTTTTCGATTAAAATAAACTAACTAAAAAAAAAAATTAACTTAGCATTTATTGATCAAATATTTTATTTAAACTTCTTTTTACTTACAATACATTATATATTACAGCTAACATCTTTTGGAAATAATAATAAAAATAAAAATAATAATAATAATAATAATAAAAATTAATTTTTCACAATATTAGCAATTATATAATTATAAATGGTATTTTATAATTTTATACAAAGTAAATAAAAGTTTTATTAAAAAATTCAAAGGTATTATAAAAACAAGGCTAAAAAAAAAAATTAAAAATTTCTAAATTATTGTACTTATCTAAAACAATTTTTATTATATTACTTACTATACTTACTTCCCAAAAGTAAATGACGAAATTCTAGAAATGGAACTGTTGCTATTAATTTTTTGACCTTCTACCTAAATAGATTAATTACATAATTAAAAGTAATGTGAGGGGTATATTTTTGAATGATAAAATACAATTTATATAAATAAAATTAAATAAATTTATTAAGAAAAACTTACGACTACTATTTACATACAATCTTAAATTTTAAAAATTATTATATTTTAAATTACAGACTAAGAAAGGATCCCGTCCCAAGGATGTTCCGGTGGTTTATAATCACCGCACTCGTAGTCATCCATTGTAAGTTGCCGAGGTCCACGGCCTTACTTCTTCTTCTTCTTCTTCTTCTTAACCCTTTGATTGTGGAAGTTATCCCAACGAGCTTGCACTCTTCTCTCAATGAAGAGGGGCTCTGGAATGCCTTCCCGTGCAGGTAAACTAGCGACGACCACGGGTTCTGGTACTGGCAGAACCCTGGCTTCCTCCTGCCATACTTCCTCGGTAGGGCTTGGTTTCGTCGAAGTTGCTGGCTCGACGTTACCCGATTTTAAAACTTTACTGTATTGAGCTCTTCTCATTGCAGCAATTGATTTACACTAGGATTTTTTCACGTATTAATGTTCACAAGACAAAATTTCGATGAAGAATGATTTTGCCACTGAAATTCTTCCTTATATAGGCAAATTCGATGGAGAGGGGCCTGCGATAGAGCCAATAGCGATCCAAAGATTCTATAATGTTCGTCATTTCCATTAAGAGTTAAGTATAGCAATGCGCGTATTTAAAATCTCATTAACTCATTAACAATTGACCATAAATTTTCATTCAATTTCTGCATCTTTTATTGACATGAGGCTACCTGAGTAATGAATTGGGTGAACAAAGAGGTTCTTAGGTAAAGGCTGCACAGTAAAAAATATTGTGTAAAATCAACACAGTTTGTGTGTTAAAAACGGTTGACACAAAATATGTGTTGAAATTTCAACACAAATTTTGAGTAAACCCTTTTTAACACAAAGATTATATTGAAATATCGCCACAAAGAGGGCGTAAAGAATCATACACTTCTCAAGTGTTAATCTTAACACAAAATAAATGTTAAATAAATTTATTTATTTTCATCAACTGTTTGATGCCTATAATATAACCTATAAAATAATTTTTTTTTTTATTTCCATCAACTGCAGTAAATCTTTTTAAAACAGTTGAATCTATATTTTTTACGTTCAATACGTTCAAATTACGATTTCAACGTCCAATACGTTGAACTTACGTTTTCAACGTTCAATACGTCGAATTTACGATTTAAACGTTCAACACGTTGAATTTACGACTTAAATTTCGACTCGCTATTATATGTTTATCGTGTCTCTATTAGTTTATAAATTATAATAATTTTAAGGATCAAAAAACGAGGTAAGAATGATCAAATTATAGAAAACGTATATTTAAAAATTAAAAAAAAATAAAAATTAGAAAAACGGTTGACCCTAAAGGCCATCCCTGCGCATTTCATACTTAAGCGTACAAAAATGCATTTATTGCTCTTCAAGCTCAAAAATATAATTTTCGAATGATTTTGAGCTCTCCGAGCTCAAAAATCTGCTAGAAGTTGAATAAAACACTATTTTTCGGATTTTTACGTGGTTGGTGGCATTCAACGCAGTTTTTATAGCCTCATAAAGAACTTTAAAGTTTAAACTGATCGAACAAGGAATTTCAAAGTAATTCCCAAAAAACGATTTTTTCAATTTTTTTCGTTAACGATAACTCACGAACGAATTAACCGATTTCAACCGGCAATCGACGTGTTTTTTTTATGTTAAGAGCTGATTAGTTTTTGGAATCGATCGGTTAAGCCATTTGAAAGTTATTCCAAAAAAACGACATGTGAAAAAATTTTTTTTTGAGATTTCTCAAAATTTACCGGTTCAAATTATGGTTAAAATTTAATTTTTCGATTTTTGAAAATTTTCAATTTTCTTAGCGGGAAATTAAAAATGATATAAAATTAATAAATACAAAATTTATTATATATTTTAAATTTTTTATTATATATTTAAGTTTACATTTGAAAAATATATTTGAATATATTTGAAAGGCACTTTTGGCAATTGATCCTAAATTTTTTAAAAATGTAAATTTTTCACGGATCAAAATTTATATAAAATTTAAAGTACTGTTAATTAATAATAGTAACATTAACATAAATCAAAGCTAGATTACTTTAAATATCATTAAGCTTTTGTAACATATAATAATAATAATAATAATAATAATAATAATAATAATAATGATAATAATATTAACAATATTAAAAATAGCACAATTTAGTCAATTAAATGAAATAATAATTTAAAGATGATAACAAAATTAAATTTTTGAATTGAAATAAATATCATCACCCCGCAATTTATTGCACTTGATAAAGAGAGTGCGACTTACAAGCTGAGACAAACAATCTCATATCTACACGTTTAAATTAGATGAATTGATCCATTTATTTTTAAATTATTCAATTAATAAATTTATCAGTTTGTCGATTAATAAGTAACGATAATTAGACATCGACTTTAAAAGGTGATCCGGGGATGTGGTCGTCTCCCCACTTGACAATTACTATGTATTCGCCCCGTTCACGCACGAGGTAACTGACGTTATAATTATTGCGGCCGACATGCTTTACGAAAACTTCTTCACAGGGTCCTTTTGGTCCGTAAACTCCAACGTACAATATATTACTTCCTGTAAAATAAATTTTATTTATTTAAATAATTTTTAATTAAATATTTACACTGACAAAAAAAATTAATTTGATTTAAAAGATAAATTTTGGAACCAAAATAAAAAAAAAAAATTATTTTATACTAACCAGCATCACCAGCGCTAACACTGAATTGATTTTGCTTTCCTATGTAAGCTTTCTTCAACCCCATACCCTTGCTTGTAACTTTACTAGCATCAGATTTAAAGCGCGGTAATACTGGACCAGTTTGTTTCGCTTTTGAGAATTTTTGAACTGTCTCTACAACAATTGAACTTGTCTCCTGAGCTCCTCGTTCCGCTAAATCTTGACCTACAAAAATTAAAATAATTGCCTTAATAATTTATCCATAAAATTAGCAATATAATAATTCACACTAGCAACCTTGCAAGGGTTAAATTGCATTGTACTTTTTTTAACTATTGACGTTTTTTAAGATATAAGCTCATTCTGATGTTACACTCATCGAGACCTTTGATTTGAGTACCCACATGGCATTTTTCATATATTTTATATATATGGTATTTGTGAAATATATAAATATATAAAATATATGAAAAATTGATGTGGGTATTCAAATGAAAGGTCTCGATGAGTATAATTTCAGGGTGAGCTTATATCTTTAAAAATGTCAATAGTTCACAAGATACAAGGTCATTTCTTAATTATGACCTATCATTTCTAAATACTTATCATAAATGTTAATACAAAAAAAATTACCAGTCGCTGTAACTTTGTAAGGTGAGCCAGCGATATGATATCCATTGTACTTGATGCTGATATAGTAATCCCCAGGTACCAAAGGAGTGTACCTAACTTTGTAGCCCTCCTCGACCTCAGTACAGTCCATCGCAACCTTGCTGGGTCCATCGACAGTGACAGCAAGCGCTCCATGACCAGCATTGCAGGTGTCGACAATGAAGTCGGTTTTCTGTCCGGTCTTGATCTCTTTGAGACCGTTACCGTAGGCGTGGATGGCCGCGGGGTCGGCGTCAACTTTACCAACCTTTACACGGAACGGGCTGCCGTTGATGTGCACGCCGTTGAACTTCAGATGGATATTGTGGATTCCGTTCTCGCGGGGCATAAATCTTACCGAGTACTCTTCAGAGTCTATTGCTTGGATGAAGCAGTCGTCCTCTACTCCACTTGGTGATACAATCTGTAATTATTATTTTTTTTATTAATACATTTATCTATATATTGTCTATAATTATTTTGAATAATGCTCAAAAAATTTATTTTTACATTATTAATATATATATATATATATATGCATATTGGTTGTGCTTAAAAGAGATATACGCGCCTACGCACTTTTGCTCATGATGTAGCATCTTATTATTTTGCAATAGCACATTTATTTTTGGATTTCTTTACGCAAGCGAGGTTTAAAGTGTCCTCGGTTACTCACAAAATACTGGAGGAATATCCACAGATAATTTAAAAAAATATTATTATTAATTAATTAATTAATTAATTCAGGATATTTTTTAATTCAATTATACACAAAAATTAGAAATCTAATGAATTATATATAACTTATAAATAAATAAATTTTTGCTTTATTAAATAATGAATTTTGTTAAATTGCACTGTACTTTCTTAACTATTGACTTTTTTAAAGATATAAACTCATCCCGGTGTTACACTCATCAAGAGCTTTCATTTGAGTACCCACATGCATTTTTGATATATTTTTCATATATTCATATATATAATATATATAAATATATAAAATATATGAAAAATCGATGTGGGTACTCAAATGAAAGGTCTTGATGAGTGTAACAACGAGATGAGCTTATATCTTTAAAAATGTCAATATTTCACAAGATACAAGGTCATTTCTTAATTATGTATCCAGGGATATTTTCAAATGCAGGCTAAATTTTCTCTTAAGAATATAAATAAAGTCAGAATTTATTAAAAAAATTTTAATTTAATAATTACTTGATTGAAAATATTTTTTAATTAAGTTATATATCAAAATAATGAACGTAAGTAATTAAAATAAATCGTATATAAAGTCAGAAAAATTTGGAATTAATTAAAAAAAAATTTATCAGTAATCTTAAATTAATTACCTTGCCATCAAGTTGTCCTTTAGCGCCATTATTACGCACTAAAAATGTAGCTGGATTATCTGGCTGAACACCTTGATCTGGAAATTGAGCAACTTCTAATTTGTGAGCATCACCAGCTGCCGGTGATATGTAAAGTTTGTGTGGCGAATCGGGTATATGCTGGTCGTTGAATTTTATTCCCACTCTGTAATCACCTGCAATACAAAAATAAATTTTAATAATAATAATCAACATAAATGAAAAAAAAAAAAAATTTTTTTTATCAATTAAATAAATTAAAAATTAAAGACACACCATCATCAGAAGCTTGTAATACAATATTTTTACAAGCAGTAAATGTACTCATGGTTCTGATAACAAAAACAATAGAACTGGTACAAAAGGTAAATAAATATAACTTAAGTAATGATATTAAGTAGTAAAAGTGAATGGCAATTATAAATAGACGCGCTACTGACGAAGTAGACAGACGAAGAGCAAGATGAAGAGAAGAAGAGATAAATAAATAAATAATAAAAGGATAGTTTATGTGAGTGAGTTGAATACAGCTGTGGAACCGGGAGTTGGTCGCGCACCACTAGGTCTCCCTTGAACGGATTTAAAGCTTGGAGCAAGTTGATGCCGCCTCCACACCTCATCCTCTTTTAAATAAAAGCTTACTCAGTTAATAAAACGCATACTATTATTACTTGGTCATTTATAATAACGTTCGTTTTATTTCCACTCGCTCATTCTCACAAACTATTTTTATTTATATCTTCATCTTTTTCTCATATTATTATGTGAGACACTGACTAAACAGGCACACGACCCGAATATTAACCACGTGAGCTACCACACGGCATCTTCATCGAAATATCATTCCGTCGCGTTATAAGACGGATATAGACAAAGTGTATTTTTGAAATTTTCGTGGATGACAAGTTGTAAAGTCTCCGTTGAAGTAAATATGCTACTCTATCAATGAAATGACTCATCTAGTTAATATTATAATAATTATAAATTTTTTTTATAAAACAATCCATTGCTTTAATTTTTGGTATTATTTCCAATCAAAATAAAATGTTTTTTTTTCACAAAAATAAATTTATACTATTATTTATTTTATACAGTGTAAAATATTCATTGTCAGACAAGGTCAAGGTTTTTTTATTGTAAAAAAATAGAAAAAAAAAATTTTCATAAATATCTAAAAATAATAAACAAGGACATTTTTAAAGATATAAGCTCATTCCGATGTTACCCTTATCAAGAGCTTTCATTTGAGTACCCACATGCATTTTCATATATTTTTCATATATATACATATATAAAATATATATAAATATATGAAAAATTGATGTGAGTACTCAAATGAAAGGTCTCGATGAGTATAATGTCGGGGTGAGCTTATATCATTAAAAATGTCAATAGTTCACAAGATATTCGTTAAATTGCACTGTATTTTCTTAACAATTGACATTTATAAAGATATAAGCTCATCCTGACGTTACACTCATCAAGAGCTTTAAATATATGAAAAATTGATGTGGGTACTCAAATGAAAGGTCTTGATGAGTGTAACATCGTGATGAGCTTATATCTTTAAAAATGTCAATAGTTCACAAGATACAAGGTAATTTCTTAACTATGTATCTAGAGACAGTGTAATAATTTAGGGTTTAAATTATTAAATAAATAAATAAACATACCTGGTTCAGAAACAGTGTAACTGACATAACAGCTTCCATCTTTACGATCCTTAAAATCAATAAGCGCTTTACTGGGCCCTTCAACAGAGATAGCCAAAGTACCAGCTCCAGCTTCGCGAGTCCAGATGTTGAACTCGCAAGGTTCACCCTGCTCGCCTCTTTCAAGACCAGGACCTCCAGCATGGACTCGGTGAGCGCCACCATCCTTGAGCGGTCCCACTGTGAACTGGAACGGAGATCCAGGAATGTGCATCTCCTTGTACCGAACCGAGACGGTGTGAACGCCGAGTTCTTTGGGGACGAAAGCAACCGCGTAGAGTCCGTCTTCGACTTCCTTGATCTCTGCGTCCTCAGTGACGCCTCCGGGGGAGGTGACAGTCGCTGTCAGGTCAAAGTTGGTGATTCCCGGCATCTTGAAGGTCAGCTTGCACTGACTGCCGACCTCAGTAATCGGAACTGCTTCTCTGCGTCTCTGGATTTTCTCTCGCTGGCGGTTGCTGCCTTCACCGCTGACTTTCACGGTAAAAGGCGAGCCCTCGACGTGATGGTCCGCGAATTTAAGGTTCATTATGTAATAACCTGGCTCAGTGGGCTTGTAGGAGACATTGAGAGTCCCGTCAGTGTTGTCCTTGCACTGGATTTCAGCCTTGCTGGGACCCTCCATAGACAGAGACAGTCCTCCGAATCCGGCATTGCGGGTGTCGATGGAAAATGTATTCTCCACGTGAGTCTGGCCTTCTTTCAGTGCGTTACCAGATACTTTAACTTTCTTGGCGTCACCGACCTCACGATCCTTAACGTCTATTTTGAAGGGAGAGTTCTGGATGTGTTTGCCCATTCGCTTTACGGCGACGACGTGTTCACCAGCCTCGCGAGGTGTAAATGACACGCATATGTTACCACTTGGCATCTTCTTCAGGAAACAAGGCTCTTCTAGACCACTTGGTGCTGTTATTGATCCGTTCAATGAACGGATATCAGCGTCTGTTACTTTTCCTGGTAATTGAACTTCACTTGATGATCCTACTGATATTTGATTTCTTTTACGACCTTCACCTAAAAAAATTGAAAATTTTGTATTATTAAATAATGACTTTTGTTAAATTGCACTGTACTTTTTCCACTATTGCTATTGTTATTTTTTAAGAAATAAGCTCATCCTGATGTTAAACTCTTCAAGAGCTTTCATTTGAGTACCCACATGCATTTTTGATATATTTTTCATATATACATATATATAATGTACATAAATATATAAAATATATGAAAAATTGATGTGGGTACTCAAATGAAAGGTCTTGACGAGTGTAATGTTGGGATGAGCTTATATCATTAAAAATGTCAATAGTTTAAAAGATATTCGTTCAATTGCACTGTACTTTCTTAACTGTTGACATTTATAAAGATATAAGCTCATCCTGACGTTACACTCATCGCGAGCTTTCATTTGAGTACCCACATGCATTTTTGATATATTTTTCATATATACATATATATTAATATATATAGATATATAAAATATATGAAAAATTGATGTGGGTACTCAAATGAAAGGTCTCGATGAGTGTAACATCGGGATGAGCTTATAAAAGCACAACTCCAGGTAATAAAAAAATAATAATTTAATTTAATTTCAATTCTTTATTAAAAATATTATTATTATTTATTAAAACTTACCAGTTATTTTAGCAACATAAGGACTGCCTTTAATTGGCTTATCGCCAAACTTAACCGATATTTTGTACTCTCCGGGAGCTGTTGGCAGATAAGACACCGACACAGTACCATCTTTGTTATCATGACAAGAAATTTCAGCCTTGCTAGGTCCTTCAACGGCCAATGACAAGCCTCCAGCACCAGCTCCCTTGGTCGAAATTGTGAAATTTCCAGGCTCTCCACATACTCCATAAATTAGACCTGGACCGTACGCTGTCACGTAACCGCTCGACAAAGAGTCAACGTGGAATTTAAACGGTGAACCTGTAAGAAATTATTTTTTATGAATTTATTTTTAACGAGATCAAAAATAACAGTTTGGTATTGAAGACACTTAAAGTACACCGTAAAAATTATTTTTAATACAGGGGATTAAGATTGTTTTTTATAATTATTAAGCTTTAAATTATAACTTAAAAGAAGAGTGTAGAGGTCGTAATCTTACGATCCCATAAGTTTTATTTTATTACCATGTAATTTTGACGATAAGATAAAGAAGTATAAAACAAAAATATAAAATTTACTTTCGTTTCATTTTATTAAATATTATATTTTATGTTCTAATTAGTGGTAGAGGTTCCAAAAATATCAAGCTAATAAGTTCATATGTCTTCAAGCATAAATATATAATATATTGCATCTTATCAGATTTTGATGGAAGAAATTTATTTTTGACTTCTTCATGTGTTTAAAATAAATTTAATATTTAAATTAAATTGTAATTTAAAATATTTAGCAGAATTATTTTTTTTTTCTTCATTTCAAGCAAATTTATAAGAAAAACATGTAACTATAAAATAAGCCCAAATTTCTATTTTTAAATTTTTATGTTATAATTTATTACCACTTTTATTGGAGTTCAAATTTATTCAAACAATTTTTTTGCAATATGGCAAAAATTTATTATTAATATTAAAAAAATTTACCTTGAACATGTTCGCCATTAAATTTAACATAAACTTCATGAAGACCTTCTTCCCTGGGGTCGTACTTTATAGAAACAGTTCCGTCATGATTGTCTTCGATTACTGGCTTATCAACGTTTCCACTTGGCATTTTTACTTCAGCTGAAAAAAATTATCAGTATAAAACAAAAATATTAATTAACTTCTATTTAAAAAAATTTTCGATTTTTTTTAGCGGGAAGTTAGAAAAAAAGTTCTATTAAAAAAAAAAATCAAAATTTAAAAGCTGGTATTAAAACTAGCAATATTAAAAATAATAAAATTAATTAAGTAATTAATAAATTATAAAATTAATTAAGTAAGTTAATAAATTATTAATTAACAAAAAAAAAAAATGAGCCAAAAAAAAAAAGAAATCTTTTCTACAAATTCCCACCTTTGCGTGAATTAATATAATAAAGACTTTGAAATATTAACGGCTTAAAATCAAGCCCAGGAGTTGGAATTTCATTTACTTCACCGTTAGTACTATCGGGATTTGCATTTTGATAACAAACGGGTTTATCTGCGTAATCAACTTCACTACAGGTAATATTTTTCAACCACTCTCTATAATAAAATGATATATCTTCCCAAGTTGAATTGATTTCTTCGTCGTCGTCATCCCAAATCATTTTTTGGTATTTATTTTTTTTTTTTTTAGTAAAAATATAAATTAAATTAAATTAATTAATTATAATAACTAGTTTGTAATAATTAATAAAAAATTAAATAACGCACTTCAAGCGACACAACTATAAATTCACAAATAAATACCAAGTGACCATAATTATTAATTTCAAGTGTCAAAAAATTAAATAATAATAATTAAATAAAAAATTGCTAATAAAAATTCCAGTTCTACTGATCAGCAAGACATCTGAAGCTCAACTGAAGACTCGGAAATATAAAGACGGAGTTTGGTAGAGGTTGTAGCTGGTATTAACTTGAAATATGTAACTGGGTCCCGGGATAGAGGCTGAATTATCTTCCAGAGGACCAACCAACAGATTAATATATTAATATATAACATTCGGGGTCGTACGCCACAAATGTAATGGTTTAAAAGAAGTAGTCTCTTCTCGGCCAAGCGAATTCAAACTCCCACGCAAGCGCTCGGGCGATGACGCCAAAAGGGATCAGCAGAGAAGGAGTGATACTATTATGGAATGATACACCTAAATATTATATATTTTATAAATTCTATATTTAATTATTTTCTGAGTTTTATAAATTTAGACACTTTTTATTATTATCATTTAGCAGCTAATATCCTTCTCAGCCGCTGTTTATTCCTGGACAATTTTTTTTAACATTATTATTAACCCTGAGGTTTTATTAATGGTTAATTAAGGTGAGATGGGCGACCATCCAATTTTTTTTTTTTTATTTTAAATTAGTTTTTTCTTTCATTCCTAATCGCGATTGCATACTTCTCTTACATAATTTTGTTTTTAGTTTATATTGATAGTTTGGAAGTAAGAAATTTTTTATGTTAATTAGAGATTTTTTATCTGGATTGAAAATTTATTTATTAAGAAATTTTCTCAATTTTATTGTAAAATAATTTAAGAACTGAAAATTTTTTTATTGAAAAACTATCTGACTGCAATTAATTGTGAACTATAAATAAATAAAATTTTGCTTTATTAAATAATGAATTTTGTTAAATTGCACTGTACTTTCTTAGATATCGACGTTTTGAAAGATATAAGCTCATCCCGATGTTATACTCATCAAGAGCTTTCATTTGAGTACCCACATGCATTTTTGATATATTTTTCATATATAGGTATATATAATATATATATATAGATATATGAAATATATGAAAAATTGATGTGGGTACTCAAATGAAAAGTCTTGATGAGTGTAACATCGGGATGAGCTTATATCTTTAAAAATGTCAATAGTTCACCAGATACAAGATCATTTCTTCATTATTGACATTTTTAAAAATATAAGCTCATCCCGATGTTACACTCATCAAGAGCTTTCATTTGAGTACCCACATGCATTTTTGATATATTTTTCACATATAGGTATATATAATATATATAGAAATATGTATATATATATAATATATATAGATATATAAAATATATGAAAAATTGATGTGGGTACTCAAATGAAAGGTTTCGATAAGTGTAACATCGGGATGAGCTTATATCTTTAAAAAAGTCAATAGTTCACGAGATACATGGTCATTTCTTAATTATCTATCTAGAGACAGAGCATTTTCAAATGAAGTCTAAATACTTATCATCATATATTGGAGAATATTTTAAGGACTGAAATTTTAAAAAATAAAAAAAACAATTTTTAATAAAATTAATTAGTTGTTAAAACTATAAAGTACTTGATATTAAATATTTTTCAATGTTATAGTTAATGAAAAAAAAAATCAATGACATTTTAAAATAAAAATTTATTCGTTGACCTATATTTACAATAGGTCATGAAAAATATCTTGCTAAAAATTTATTGAAAAAATTTTTTTTTCACCCTGATTTTACAACTTCAATTAATTAAACTCAAAAATTTTGAAAGCCTTCTAAACATTTAAACTATTTTTAAAATTAAGATGATAAATTAAAAATATTTTTTTGATCATGAAATGTCAGATAAAAAATGAAATTTATAGCATCGCTAGCTTTTTTAAATAGACCACAGCCAGAACTCAAACTAGCGCTATGGTGTTATTATATTGGATTTCACAATCATAACAAAGTTAGAAAAACACACAGAATTTATTTTAAAGCCCTACTAGATTTTTATGAGTCTTTAGCTGTCTAATTAACGAGTTTATCGAATTAGCGTGAAATAACGTGGGAATTTTCATTCAGATTCCTTACTGACTCAAACTCATGAATAATATTAAACATGTTAATGCGAAAATAAATCATTCAAATCGCAAAGGAAATTTATATGCCAGAAATATGTTGAGATAAATTATACACTTTGTTGCAAGTTTAAATATATCTTATTATGTATTTACGAATACGAACTAAGTAATGGCTCTTTAAAAATTACTAAAATAGTTGCGAAAATAGATTTTCAATTATTTTTAATAGATTTCTGATTTCCTTGGCTATAATTAGAAAATTTTTAAAGTTTCAGTCAAAAATACCAAAGGTTACTTTATAAATAATTAGCTTAGTTTAAAAAAATATTATTTTACAAACTTTTGTAATAAAAATTAGAAAGAAAAAAAAAATATTTGAGTAACAAGCAATTCAAAAAATTTTTTAAATTCTACTATAAATACTTTTTTAACTATAAAGAAAATAAAAGCTTATAATAAATAAGAATTAAATACTTAAAATAAATTTAAGAAGATTAAAAAATTTATCTATAAGTATATATCTCAAATATTTAATTTCTAAATTATATTTTAATTTTTTATCCGATATTTTTAAGCCAAGGTAATCAAAACAAAAAAAAACTAAATTAAAATAATAATAACTTTTAAAATAAAATTTTTGTTAATATTTTACAACTACCGACTTGAAAAATAGAGTTAACAATTTATAAATTAATAAAAAATTATTATTAAAATTTTGATAAAATATTATTAATAAAATTTTAACAAAATATTATTGTTAAGATTTTAATAAAATATTATTATTAAAATTTTGATAAAGTTTTAATAAAAAATTATTATTAAAATTTTGATAAAAAATTATTATTAAAATTTTAATAAAATATTATTAAAAAAATAAAAAAATTTTTGTAAACATGAAAATACATAAAGACAGACAGGAAACCGATGTTTGAATTTTCTGGCGTTGGACCGCGGGCCAAAGGAAATATAAAAGCATTACTGGCAAAACTCAACATCAAGATTTAATTAATGATGCGTAACGTTAATCGCAACCGCATGGACAAGTTGTGGCTCATTTGTCACTTGAGTGTTTAAATTCCAAGATTAACGCCCAAGGATTAATGAAAATCCGTGTTAATCATTAATCATTAATCATATCTCAGCAATTAATTATCCTTAAGTTCAAGACTAACATCTTTGATGATGAAAAAAAAATTTTCAATTGTTAAACACTGATTATTAACTGTTAATAATCTCCAGGGATTGTAAAATAAATCCAATTGATGAAATGTGCACTCGGTAGCACTTAATCATCGGTCAATATTAATAACACGAATGGCAAGCTTACGACATCTCATAACATTCATCTCTCTACGCATATTCTTGGCATACTATTACTAAGGTATTATGCCGAGCAGTGGGATTAGATAGAAGGTCTACTTGCTGATGTTTATACTTGTGTCGTCCAAGATAGAGTACAAAGATATAACATATAGTATCAACTTAAGTTAAATTATTGAGATTCACACTACAAGTACTATGAACTTGTCACTCCTGTCAACCCACCGATTAAACGCTTTAATAAATAACAATAAATTATTGCCCTTATGTTAGACTGGAGGTAAATTAAATAAATTATTTTTTACTGCTAAAAGCAATCAATTTTTGGCTCACTTTTGATGTTAATATGTTAACACTTGGACTTGGTGTATATGCCAAGTACAATCTACAATGGACCATTTAATCCGGGTTATGTTAATTATAAATAGAAGAAAAGTACTTACATGTCACTGTACCGTCTCCTGATGGCAAAGGGATGCTGTTCAGACGGATTGAGTTATATTGAGTAGCACTGTCGTGCTGGTTTGTGCTACGCCGTGTAAATCTCGAACTTTCTTGGACACTTGAGCTGTGCTTTTCTATTACACGTTCTTTGTGGGATCTTCGGCCTGATGTCTTATGGAGACTCTGTTCACGGTATTCTTCTGATGCCTGAAAAATTATTAAATAATTAATCATTTTTTATTATGGTAAATTTTTTATTAATACAATTTTTTATTAAAATTTTTAATTAATACAATTTTTTATTAAAATTTTTAATGTAATTTTTTATTAAAAATTTGTAATTAATGCAATTTTTTTATTAAAATTTTTAATGCATTTTTTTATTAAGATTATTAATAAAAATTTAAACATAATTTTTTAATAAAATTTTCAACGTGATTTTTTATTAAAAATTGTTTATTAAAATTTTTAATGTAATTTTTTATTAAAAATTTCTAATTAATGCAATTTTTTATTAAGATTTTTAATGTGATTTTTTATTAAAAATTTTCAATTAATGCAATTTTTTATTAAAATTTTTGAAAAAAATTTTCTTCCAAAATGAAAAAAAATTCTTTTTTTTTAATTGATTTCACAACCCAATCCTGGCTAATATAAAATCATTACGTAAAATCTAAGCAAAAACCTTGAATTGGATCTTGTCACGAGGTTTGTCTTATTACGTTGATAAATAACGCATTAACAGAGCACATAAATAATCTCGATAATTTATGCTAGTAACTAATAACTTTGACAAGTGAAAAATGATCCTAGTTAAAATTTTAAAAATTTTTTAGCTGATTATAACTACCTAAAATTAAATAAAATTCTAAACCTGGACAATCTTAGAACTAAACCAACTAGATGATACTCTAGGTGTGAAGAGATGATATAAACAACAATCGCTAACAATAATAGATTTAAGCTCCCACTTAAATTTATTAAGGAATGTGATAGAAATAAGCTGGATTTACAGAGTTAAATCTAGATCGCTAACAAAATGTTAACAATTGTTTGCAGATGGTCTCCATTATTATAAAAGTTCATCACTTTAGCTGTCACTAATGAAAAATCCAAACCCGTAAAAATTTAATTAACTAGATTTATTAATAGCGAGTGCATAAAAAAAAAAAAATTAATTAAAAAAGTCTGATTAAAAAGCTGAAGAAGCAACAGGCGTTTCGTCACGCTTTGATTAGTTATTTTGGAGCTAGCGTCTCGGTGAATCCACGCGGATCTACTAGAGTTGCAGCTGTCGACATTTCTATCATCATCAAATTACTTATTTTTTTTGTTTATTTATTTAATTTTTTCTCTACACTTTGCTTAATTTTTACCTTTGTAATTTTTTTTTTTCAAACAAAAAGATTTTTTTTCTAACTAAAAAAATACTGTGCTAAGAGACACAATAAAAATTTATGTTTAGAGACTTGGTTAATTTTTATTTTCTATAAAAATAATATCTAGCCGTCTAAAAATGTTTAATTTAATCCGGAGCATCAATTCACCAGTCACCAAGTCCACCCACAATCTCTCTTGTACGTTTATAAATTCAAGAAAGCCCGTTGGTTGCTATTTAAAATAGTACGAATAAAATTTCATTTTACAAGTCTTTAAATTTAATTTATAGATTTATATTTATATTAAATAACGCTTTTAAAAAACATTTTTTTCCCCATAAGTGTGACAATAATTAAATAGAAAAAAATAAAATTAAACATTCACACTATTTATAAATTATTAAATCCAAAAAATATAAAATACCTTTTTTAATTTGTTTTTAAACAAATAAACAAATAAAATTTTTTGAGTCTATAATTAACATATATAGTTATAAAAACTATGTTGAATACAATTGACAGTAATTGTTAATTATCACTGATAAACAGAAGAAGACGTCGATGCGATTCCGACGGCACTACGACGCGAACTGTTAGACTGGAAACTCCGCGACAATATTCCGGACGTGTCAGTCTCTATAGTTAGATACAGATTTACGCCCCCACTCACCCCCACATAAATTTAATAAGTTACAAGCAATTCGGGAAACGGGAGAGACTGTTTCGAATAGTTGTAATCTAGTTCCAAGATCACGATACAGAATCCTATATCGTGACGGAAAAAGTTCATCTCTTCACTCTTCGCCAGCGATATTTATTTCTTTTACTACCTGTTTTGCTTTATGTATCACACAGATTCATTTGTCTTGACGCAAATAAATCCTTTGTGAGATTTTGATTGTCGCGGTGCAGCCAAACATTTTATACAGACGTAAAGAAAATAGCCATCATAGTTGTCTGGTTTATTGTCGGCTGCAGTAATTATTATTGAGCTGCTTTCTTAAATCTTACGTTGACGTTTTATTATGATAATTTGTAATTTATTTCATTTGGAATTTTTTATGATGAATAATAAGTATTATTAATAATTTAAAATAAGATTAATAATATTTCTTATACTTATAAACTGAAAAAAAAATTAACTTGAATCAAGACAAAAAATTCTTGAATTAAGTAAAATTTACTTAAAGAAAAATTTTTTAGTTTAAAAATATTTCTACTGAAATCAAGAGTAAAAAGTTCTTCAAAATTATTTACACTGGAAAAAAAAAAAAAATAACTTGAATCAAGAGAAGAATTTTTGAGCCAAAAAAATAATTTTAAAGAGTTTCATTATTTTAAATCAAGACAAAAAATTTTTGAATTTTACTTCAAGTAAAATTTACTAAAAGAAAAATTTCTTAATTTAAAAATTTTTCTACTCAAATCACGAAGATGTTCTTTAAAATAACTTGAAATAAATAAATAAATAAATAAAATTATTTACATGATTCAAGTTAATTTTTTTTCTGGGTATGTATATATATATAATACACTAAACTATGACATCATGTAACATTTGTAGTATAAATAATAATGCGATAGTAGATTTCTTAAGAGCAATTAAATAAAATAAAAAAATTATTTAGTACGTACTGTAAATGTATAGAAGCCATTTGGCACTGGCTGACCACCAAATTTAATATTAAGGGTGTATTCTCCAGCATCAGCTACAGTATAATAAATATTTACTGTTCCATCTCCATTATCTTCGATATCAATGTCCACCACTTCACTGAAATTTGATAAAATAATTATTTATTTAACTATACGCCAAGTAGCAAAAATACATATTGATATTATAGTCACACAATTACTATTACATATTTATATTAAGTTGATTTAAAGTTTATAAAAACAAAAATTAGTAATAAATAAATTTTTATTGAATTATTTAGAATTTTAATGATATTCAATATTTTTAAAATAATTCAAGTTATATTTATATAGATTTAAATAATTAATAATTTATTTATATATGCAAGTTAAATTTCACAATTTAAGAAAAACAAGAAAAAGTGTAAAAATTAAAGATTTCATTGGAAAAATAAAATAAAATCTAAAATAATAAATTCTATAAGCTATAATATCGTTGATACAGTAATGTATGTAAATAATCAACCATGACAATAATCAGAATTTCTTGAACAGTTGCCAAAAGCTCTAAAGTATCAGCGTATAAACCCAGCAAGTAAAGATGAGAAAACATCGTGTTCAATTAGCATAGAGTTGAGAATAAAATTTCCAATTAAATAGCCGGCTAAGTATCACAAGAGTTAAGTTAAGTATCATACCAGTCAAGTGAAACATGTCCAAGTACAATCAGACACGCTTTGTCACAAGTACTTATCTACAGATATACGCAAATACGCAATTAGCTTTCGCTCATACTAGTATGATAATATATGCACTGCAGACACTTTAGGTGTTAGCCAAAACTAATGCATGTCTGTCAGCTCCAATGGAATACGTCTGTCAACGTTCTTTGGCGCTCATTGTCTTCACAAGAGATACTGTAAAATTGCCGTTCACTTATCGCTAATTTGTCTTGACAACTATTTTCTCAGAGCATGAATTTATAAATAATAAAAAGAAAAAAAAAAAAAGTAGTTTTTGTATCGAAGTTATAACGAATGACATGTGTCACGCAATATCTCATACTTTTGTGAGTAAATATATGTATTTATTTATTTTAGCTCTCCAATAAGATGAACGTGTGAGTTAATTTGTAGATTCAGGAAGTTATAAGCGGAAACGAGAGAAAGATAAATGAGCTTCGAATAACAGAAATAAACTTGAAGGAGTTCTTGAAAGTTTTTAAATTTTCATCTTCCCTCTTCTTTCAACCGTTCAATTTTAATTTACATATTTCAATGGAATATAGATCAACTCAACATTAATAAGCAACCCAGTGTCTAAAAATTAAAATTAAACTGTTTATTTCAAAATGGTAATCGGAAAATATAGACCGGAAAAAATTTTAAAGATGAAAAATTCCTATTATTTCATTTAAATTATTATAAAATAAAAATTATAATAATAATGTATCACTCCCACAATTTTCCTGAAAAATAAGCACTCTTAGAATGATTGCTCCATTTTTTGTTATAAAAAAATATCATTATTATTATGACTATTATTATTATTATTATAAAATCGGTGTTTTTATTTATTAAAGAGCATTTATTATTTTAAGCCAAGAGATCTGATCCACTTGAAGACTACTCAATTTTCATTTATTTATTAACTATTTTCACCACACTATTGTCGGTATGAGCACTCATACGATCCTCGGGTGAATATATCTGATAATTAAAAATTTTTTCAATTTTTTTTTTAACACAATTTTAGTTGGGATTATGTAAAGATGTTATTTTTTATAACTTAAAAATTTTTTCCGGGTCTATTTTTTCCGCTCTATTTTTCCCGGGATTATTTAAAAATACCTGCAAGCAACTAGTTAAATAATAATAAATTCATTATTTAATAAATAATATTTAGTTCACCTTCCAGAAGTCGAACGAATGCGACATGTGACAGCACCTCGACCAGCATTCTCGGTGTCCACACTGATGCAGTATTCTTCGCCCTGTGCCAAAGTTTGCTGAATGCCCTCTTTGATTTTACACTTATCAGCTTTACCAGTTGACACACTTTGGACACTGACTGGACTTCCGGGAACTTCTTTGCCTCCGTATTTAACATTTACTTTATAACGACCGCAGTCATCAGGCAAATACGTAGCTTTGTACTTGCCATCTCCAATATTCTGAATGCCAACTTTGCGAGGCACTTGGTCGGGTCCCAGGACTTGAACTTCTAGGTCTCCGTAGCCAGCTTTGGAAGTATCGACGATAAAGTCCACAGGAAAAGATGCTGTGCACGCTGAAGCGACTCCTGGTCCGGAGAGCACCACTTTATTGGGCTCGACAGTCGGATTCACTTGGAACTTGAAAGGACTTCCCGGGATGTCTTGATCCCCGTAGAGTACACCAACCTGGATGTTGCTTCCAGCAGCAGGGGGTTGATAAGTCACTTCGTAGACTCCGTCGCCACGGTGCTTGATGTCAGGCTTCTGCATCTGGCCTTTGTCGGTCTTCAACTTTATGTCCAGTTGCGCTGGGTCGCATTTGCTGGTATCTACGACAAATTGCGCGGGGATTCCTTCGCGGATCATCTGAGGTTCTAGTCCAGGTCCATAAGCAGTTACATCTTTGGCATCAATGCCGTTTTCTACTTGAACTTTGAAGGGCGACCCGGGGATGTTTTCCTTGTCGAACTTTATGGCTACGTCGTATTCACCGGGTTCTGTTGGTACGTACTCGACACTGCAAGACCCGTCGTAATTGTCCGTGCAAGTCATGATAGCTTCACTTGGACCTTCAATTGCTAAACCTAGTCCTCCATTGCCTGCATCTGAAATTAATATAATTATGATTAATTTTTTTTTTAATAATAAAAATTATAATTACTATTTTTGTTTTGTCTTTATCTCTAGATACATAATTGAGAAATGACCTTGTATCTCATGAACTATTGTCATTTTTAAAGATATAAGTTCACCCTGACATTACACTCATCAAGACCTTTCATATGAGTACCCACATCAATTTTTCATATATTTTATATATTATATATATATAATATATGAAATATATATAAAAAATGCATGTGGGTACTCAAATGAAAGCTCTTGATGAGTGTAACATCAGAATATGATTATATCTTTAAAAATATCAATAGTTAAGAAAGTACAGTGCAATTTAACAAATATCTTGTGAACTATTGACATTTTTTAAGATATAAGCTCACCCCGATATTACACTCATCAAGACCTTTCATTTGAGCACCCACATCAATTTTTCATATATTTCATATATCTATATATATTATATATTATATATATGTATATATGAAAAATATATCAAAAATGCATGTGGGTACTCAAATGAAAGCTCTTGATGAGTGTAACACCGGGATGAGCTTATATCTTAAAAATATATATGTATATATGAAAAATATATCAAAAATGCATGTGGGTACTCAAATGAAAGCTCTTGATGAGTATAATACCAGGATGAGCTTTAATTAAAAATTTTTTTAACTAATAATAATAATAACTCAATGAATTTTAAATATTATTAATCAATATTAACTTCCATTAAAATATATACTAAAACTATTAAAAAAAAATTCAAATTAATCATATAATAATTCTTACCACTAGTTTCAACCGTAAATCGATTAGATTTACCAACAAATCCTTTTTCCAATCCTGGACCATAGGCTTTGCATTTCCGTGGGTCGCAAACTCTCTTGACATTAACCGAGAATGGCGATCCGGGAACCGGAACATTATCATAAAGAATATCAATAGTGTGCCTTCCCTCTTCAAACGGCGTGTAACTAACGCGATAAGTTCCATCATTTTGCGGAGTTATTATTTTCTCCATTTTTCCACCACTGGGGTCTAAAATCGAGCAGGATAATTTATTATCATCGCCGTTTGTCTTGGGTACAGCTCGCGTGTCGATGGTGAATTCTGTCGGGATGTTAACACCCAGGCCTGTAATTATAAAAATAAAAATCATTTAACATAATTAGTAAAAAAAAAAAATAAATAAGTAATTAACTGACTGCACTAATAATTTGTAGCAAAAAATTTTTAAACTTATTAATCACTATAAAAAAAATACAAGCTGCACACGTCATACTGATTAATAAATAATTATTATTAATATTATAGATAAAAAATAACTCAGTCAAATAATAATAAATAAATAGAGTAAAAAGTGGGTGAAGAAGCAGGAAAGGGCTGGCTAAAAAATACAAGTGAGATAAATTTATAAAATAGTAATAATAATTAATAATAAATTACGAATTAAATTAATAAAAAAAAATAAAAAAAAAAACGTCATGCAGTAATCGAGCAGCAAACGTTCCACGCGGCTCCTAACCATGAGGCTTAATGCCATTTCCGGTGACCTTGATCTTGGAGAGATCCGCTTGGGGCTTGATGATGGCTTGAAATGGCGATCCGGGTATATGCCGGTCGTTGAAGGTGATATTGATGCCGTAATCACCGGGTTCGGTTGGTAAATAAGCAACGGAGCAAGTGCCATCGCCGTTGTCCCGGCAATTAATCGCAGCTTCGCAAGGGCCTTCGACTGTGACACCGAGGCCACCCTGCCCTGCACCCCGGGTGTCAATAACGAATTCCGCTGGCCTGGAGACTAGACCTTGGTGAAGACCCGGTCCAGATGCACGGACCTTGGACGGATCGCTGCCGTGGACGCAATTTAAGCGGTAAGGCGATGATGTTATTGCTTCACCGCCAAAACTTATTCCCAACAGGTACTCTCCGAGCTCGGTCGGCGTAAAATTAACCAAGTAGCCGTCGTGGGCAGGAATTATATGAGCCTTGACTCTATTACCCGACGGAGTTGTTATTACTACTTGGAAATCTGCTGCCTTGCCAGCGTCCTGGGTAATCACGCGGAATTGCTGGAGACTGTTGACTGGTGCCGCTATAATTTCCGTTTTCACGTGCTTTTGCTTTATATTTTATCTTCTTACTTTATTACCGATTATTTATTATTTATTATTTATTATTCTAATTATTATTAATTAATTTATTAATTTATTAAAGATGCTAAGTAGCGTAAATTGCGCTCACATTTTTGACGGGAAGCGTCAATGGGAAGACTAGCTGTTTGGATTTATTTACACGGAGGCGCACAAGCATTTTTTATTAGCATTATTAATGCTTTAAAATTAATTAAATAATTTTATGTTTTTATTTTTAAAAAATTATTGGTAATTTTAGTAATTGTTTACTATTTTTGGCCATATCTAAGTGAAAAATTAACATTTTTTAATTTTTTTTTATTCTGCTTGTTTTTACAGCGCTTTTATGATAAAAAAATGTCGTGAAAGAAAAAAATAAAAATTTCGATAGCTTTTTTGCCTTCAAAACTTGGAAAAAAATTTTGGCTCTCATGTTTTTGAATAAAAATTTCTATTTTATTTTTTTT